GGACAGAGAGTTTCCCCTCAGCACCTGGACCCCCGGCGCCCCGCCAAGTGGAGGCGGGGAGCCCTGGGGATCCTCCCTGCCCTGAGTGAGGTCTGTTATGCAGCATATTTGAGGTCAATAAATTACAGCAATAAATACTAAAGTGAGGTGGGGGAAGGGGTTCCTGGTAGAAAATTAAAGTGGGGTGACAAGCCCGGGGCAGGGTGGGTGGTCCTAGGCAGGGGGTCCCGGGCAGCCTCAGTCCCCACAGCACACACCCACCCCCTGATTTGGAATGTCAGACTGAGGTCAGGCCCCGCTCCACCACCCGCTCCTGGCATCGGGTTCACAGGTTCAGTGATGCCCAACCTGGCTCTGGGGAAGAGCGAGGGCCTTGGTCCCTGCAGGGGGCCGGCAAGGCTGGGATCCCTGGTCTGTTCTGAGGCCTGGCGCCTCTGCTTTCGTCCTCCCCACCCCACCCCGACCAAGCCAAGGGGACGGGACGGATGCGGCCGCCTCTGCCCTGAACGCTGCCCTCCTGGCTGCCCAGGCCTCACCCCGACTCCGGACAGCCACGGGCAGGGCGGCTGGGGTCCCTGGTGGATCGCACTCCTGCACACGGCCAGTCCAGTGCATTCTGACGGGTGGGAGTCGGGGTAGCCCACGGTTGTGTGAGTTCCGAAAGTCCTTCTGGGTCCAGCTTGTTCGTTTCACAGGCTGAGGTGTGTGGCTATGCTGCGAGTCTCTGAGATTCGTGTATTTGCTTAAAGGTTCCTCTTTCCTTCTTTACCGTTTCTGCAATCCTGGAGGAGCCCCGGCGGCGGTGGGCTGGGTCTGGCGGGAGCGTTCGGTGGCGGTGGCGGAGCACGGTCTGCCCAGACATTGATACAAAAACAACACTGTTCAGAGCGTTTGCACCGTCCATGCAGTGTTTGCCCAGTGAGCCCCTCCCACGGCCGGGGTGGAGGTGGGGGTCCCCAGGGGGCGGGGACCCGCTGGAGCCCACGGAGCTGCGCAAAGGTCCTGGCTTTTTGGCGTGAGAGGGACCCTCACATCAACACACCCGAGGGTCGCAGGCAGAGCAGCGGGATGGGGGTGCACCTGCATCCCACGGGCCCAAGCCCAGGCTCAGGTCCTGTGGCCACAAGTGACAGCCACCCCTGCTGTGCCAGCTGGCAGGACGGCCAGGGTCTGGCCAGGAGGCCTGGGGTGGGCCAGCGCGGGCCCAGGCTCTTTGGTGCCAGCTGGGCTGGGAGAGGCGGGGCTGAGAGGAGAGCTCAGGGGCCCCCACGCCCGCCCCAGGGCCTACTCAGAAGGGCTCCGGAGGAAGCCGGGATTCACTGGGACTGGCCTTTTATCTGCTGAGGTCTGAAACTGTAAACGTTTATGTAAACGAACAATGAGATAAATATATTAGTATCTTTTTTCTGAGCTCATTGAGGTTCCATACGCATTCAAAATGTGCTTTGGTTTAAAAAATAGGTTTTGTGAATTTGGGTGTGAGCTTTTTTTTTTTTTTTTTTGGTCGTTGTTTATCCTCTTTCCTACATGACATCTGCTATTTTCTGTTTCCTGTTTCTCCAAAACATTCAGGAGTTCAGCGACTAAAGCAGAGAACTGTAAGCCGCCCTTTGGCCTCCAACAGCCTAATCTCCTGGTGAGGCTCTAACACACATCCATGCACACACTCACGAGCTCGCACTCCATGTGAAACCAAAGGAAAAGGAAAACAAAACCAAGTGTGTTAACCCCGCTCATCCCACAAACCCTTAAAGTCTTAAATAGGAAACTAGTGTTTTGCTTTCTTGTTCAAATACAGAGAAGGCTCGATGAATGATATAATACTCAGGTGGGTACAATACTACATTGCACGAAGGTCATCGAGTGAGGGCCTCTGCGCCCAGTCCCCGAACCTCTGCCTTGAACCACCTGCTTCACCGGGGTCCATGCCCAGGGGCGTGTGTGCAGCTCCCGCTACAGACTTCTGTCGTGTGGCTTAAGTGCCAACGGAGTAGGGGGGTCGGGAGAGCAGAAGCACTGCAGGGGCCCCGCCCGACTTGCTGGAACACGAGTCTCCAGAGGGGAGAGGAGTGGCCCGAGGCCGGGGGCACCCCAAGGGCTCAGCAGGGCCCCGCGTGGCCCTCGTGCCCTCACTCCAGACACCCACCACTCGGGTCCCTGAACTCAGGCTCTGGTTTCAGCTGGATGGTCTCTGGAGGGGTGGAGGGTAGGGGTAGGGGATGACTCTGGAATTTTTTGGTCTGAACTTAAAGTAGAAAGAAATAAAAGCCTGAAGCAAAACGAACAAGGTAAAGCCGCTGGTCCAGCCCTGTGGCTGCAGCAGGCTGAGGACAGTGGGGCCGACCTCTGGACCTCGGCCTGGCCTTGTGAGCGCGGCTCTGGGCCCATGGAGGTGTCTGAGGCTGGCAGGGAGCCCAAGGTGAGGGAAGGGTGGGATTCAGGGCTGAGCCCGTGGGTGGCAGCCAGCCTCTCCCCAGACCGCCCAGAGATGCCAAAGCAGAGCAGCTCCCCACCCTGCCGGTGGGTGGGAGAAGACGTACACACCCCTGTGGTCAGCCCCTCCGCACTAGTCAGGTAGGGGCTGCTGCTCTCCCGAGGTGAGGCTCTTGCAGGCCCGGGGTACAGGATGGGGGGGGGTCTCACTTCTGCCCCATCCTGGCCTGGCCGGGAGCCACCAGGAACTTGTCCCACCGTGTGGCTCCCGTCTCCCGGCACCTGCTCCTGTGCCGGGGGCCCCCCAGGGGCTGGAGCACCCATACCCCAACTCGGGCCCAGATGAGAGGCAGCTCGGGCTCCCTGACAGCAGCACACTCAGAACACCTTCAGGGTGGCCGCTGGCCACACGCACACGGAGGAAGTACACGTGCCCCTTCTGAGAGGGGCACAGGCGGGGGCCCAGGAGGGCGACGGGAGGAAAACACAAGTGGCACGGCCACAACTGCCATCACCAAACAACGTCCTGTTCTCGGGAGTTCAAGAGGTAGCAAAAGGTCAGAAGTCTCTCCACCTTGACGGTTTTTTGTTTTCTTTTGTTAGCACCACCTTAAATTCTGTGCCTGAGGTGAGTGCCTTGCTTGCCTCACCCTAATTAGTCCTGGATGGGAGGCGTGGCCCAGCTGGGTGACCCCACAGGGTCTCATGAAGGAAAGAATAAGCACTCACGGTCAGCAGGGGTCTGGGCAGTGAGCAGGCCACTTCCTTGGCACCTCTGGTCCCTTCTGTTCCACCTGGAACAGCCCAGGATTTGTGGAATCCTTGTCCCATACAATTGGCAAATCCTTCCTCGAGCCTGCCATTCTCCGACGGCATGATTCTGAAATCTGCCCAAATCACAGGCTGCCCCATGGATTAAGACAAAGAGTATAAATTCTATGAATTACAGAAGCTGAGTGCTGGGAAAGACAAAATATTGAATCAAGTTACAGACCCTCACGCTTGAAAAGCTGGCTGTTAGCAGGTCAGTGTGGCCCAAACTGTGGCAGGAGATCCACTTGGAGGACTCCGTGAGATGGATCTCTCTTCTTTCCCACACCCAGGGGGCACCCAGCGATGGCCTGTGGACCCCTCTGCCCAGCCTGGACCTGCTATGTGACCATGCATGGACTCCAGCCCTCTCTGGGCTCACTGCCCCTAAGGGAAATGAGATGGGGCAGAGGGAGAAACTCAGCATGACACTCAAGCTAGGAAGCAAGAACATCTTTGCATCTTCGCATCTGCAGTGATTTCTTGGTTCTTCCATTACAGAGGGGAAGAGGCTGGGTTTCAGCTGAGACACCTCTCATGCCCCCGGGCAGGTAGGGCAAGCCTCAGGCCCCCAGACAGCTTCGACAGTGTGTGCTGAAGCTAGAATTTCACACTGTCTGGCTTTCCCTGGATTTTCACCCTTCTTGATTTTCTGTGTATGGTAATTCTATATAAAATGCCTTTTTCTGAATCAATGCATTAAGGTGGTGGGGGGAAGGGAAGTGAGTTGATTAAATTTTTAAAGAAAAATCCAACTTCTGGGGCTGTCAGGAGGCAGCAAGCAGGAGCCACTTTTCTTTATTTGCTGGAACAGAGAGGGGTGGTGACTGGCCCAACATCACACAGCAAGTCAGAGTGGAGCTGGGGTTCAAATGGAGCGGTACCTGCCAAGGGTCCTGGGATGGGTGGGAGGTGGGGGCACGTGCAGTGGAGGCTCCTCAGATGATCCTGCAGAAGGGGAAGTGGCTCTGGAGAAAGTGAAAGCCACAGATGAAAGGGTCACCTGGTCCAATCTGTCCCTAAACAGTCACTGCTGGGGTTCCCTGCCCTCCCCAAAGGCGGGGGAGTCTAAAAAGTCTCCATCCTCCCCATCTCTCAGGGCTCCCCTCTGCCACCCACCTCGTGTAAACTTTGGGACCTCCGCCTGTCTTCCTGTCTCCTGCCACCCGCTTTCAGCCCTGGAACCGGGTGGCCTTCATGGGGAAGTAATGCAGAAAGCTCCCCCTCCTGCCGGGGCCTGCGGTCTAACAGTTGCCTGGGCGTTTCCAGCAACCGGTCAGACAGTCCAGGAGGCCAGGGGCTGCAGCTATTGGGAGTTTGTCCCCAAGATGACCCTGCCCCGAGGTCACTCCAGTCCTGAAGCTAGGGCGCTCCTAGAGGGGGACTGGGGCAGGGAGTGGGCAGAAGCAGCTGCTTTTCAAGGTTGGGCAACCTGGAGTCTGGGTGGGGCAGAGCTGGGGCCCAGGCTGCTGCTGGCAACCACACAGCTTGAGGGGGCTGAGCTCTGGGGAAAAGGCCTAAGCATGGGTTCCCTGGGTATTGTCACCGGCCCCCAGCTTCTTCCCCCACCTCCTTGAGGTCTTGTCCTCACAGCTGGACATTCTGTCCATGTCACAAAAGTACAGGGTCCTTCTCACCGCCCTGAAAGGTTGATGGGCGACATTTGCCCAGAGAAGTCAAGCAACCCTCCCAGGGCCACACAGCAGGTGCTGGGCCCCTCCCACACATGCCCTACACTCTGACCTTCCACCAGCAGCATGAGCAGCCCAGAGCCACCCACCGAGACCCCCCGGGGCCAACGCCCCGACCTGGCTGACCCAGCCCACGTAAGGCAACCTTGGTGAGAGCCTGGGAGGGGCCCCGGGTGGGGGTGGGACAGGTGGTCGGTGAGGCAGCCAGAGCAGAAAGGTTGAGTGTTTCGTTACCATGTAAGGAACGCTCTGCCCCATGATGGTTTAACTAGATTACAGCAGGGATTTTTTGTTGGTTTGTTTTTCATTTTTGCCATGACGCTCGGCATGTGGGATCTTAGTTCCCCCACCAGGGATCAAACCTGTGCTCCCTGCATTGGAAGCGCGGAGTCTGGACCACCAGAGAAGTCCTATAGCAGCTTTTTAACTACCTTTAATAAAACTCTTGTTTTAAAAAAAAAAAAAAAAAAAAGCTGGATAACCAGCTTCTAAAAATGAGGAAACTGGAGTTCAGAGAGGCTCAGTCAACTGCCCAGAGCCGCACAGGGAAGTGGGGGTCACCTGTGCTGGGCCAGATGTTTCTCTGCCACTGACTTGTCACTCCTCTGAACCTTTGTTTCCTCATCTGTAAATTGGAGATGGCATCCTTACCCCACAGGGCATAGGGTAGTTGGAGTTGGTATTTTTTCCTTTTTTTTTTTTTTTTTGGCCGTGCTGTGTGGTTTGTGGAATCTCAGTTTCCTGACCAGGCATTGAACGGGGGCCACGGCAGTGAAAGCTCCAAGTCCTAACTACTAGACCACCAGGGAGCTCCCCATTGTTTCCATTCTAGAGATGAAGGAATTATGGCTGAGGGTGGAGCCATGCGCACAGGACTCCACTCTGCGTGTCCTCACGCCCTTCCCCCACTCCCTCCCCCAGCAGGTGAGGTCCGTGCCCGCCTGCTGCCCTCCAAGGCCTGCTGCTCACGGACATCTGAGCGCCCCGCTACTGACCCGCAGCCCGTGCCCAAGAAGACCCTGACCAGGGCCCAGTCGCTGCCCACCCACAAGTCCCCCAGCCCCGGCCCCACTCCAGCTGGGCAGCCTCAGGAGCCCCTTCTGGGATCCCGCAGTGTGCACGAGAGCCATGCAGGCGACGACAGGGCGGGGCCAGCCTGTCGCCCTGCAGAGCTGCCCTTCTGCTCGCTGGACACGGAGCTGGGCCTCTCTCTCCGCCGCGCTGGAGGCCCGGCAGCTGGAGGGCCTCCGCGCCGTGTACGCCCCGGCTGCACGCCCGGCTCCTGGGGGGCCTCCCGGGCCCCTGCCGCCCCGGCCACCGCTTCCGCCTCGTGGACAGCTCGCCCTGCGTGGAGAGCTGGGACGCCCTCTACCACCGCCTGGTGCGGAGGGACAAGGAGGCGTGGCACCTCCTGGCTGCCAAGATGAGCCCCGCCTTCACCCCGCCTCCTCGGAGGTTTCCCCAGTGTCCCGACCAAGGCGTAACCCAGGGCTCTTTAGACTGAGGCCCAATTGCTTATTTTGCGACTAACCTACGAACTAACATCGTCAGCCCTTGGAACCGCGTTTCTCAGGTGTGGGGTGACCTACATTCAAATCACCTGGGAGTCTTGTTAAAATCTCCCCCACGACTCTCAGGGGCCCAGTAGTCTGCATTTTAACTCACTCACCCGTGAATTCTGGCGCGAGAAACCCACAGCCGGCTGATAGCTCCCACTTTCCATCATCATCTTCAACAAAATATACTGAGCACTGTTCCTTCTTGTCTTGTGCTGTTCTAAGGACTTTTAGACACTTTCATTCAGCTAATCCTCATGCAAGCATCACCACGTTTCGTTATAAGATGCTTCTGTTTTATGCACCACCAAGAAAAAGAAAAAAAAGATTCCCATCAAATAAACCAGACTACCAAGTGTCAGACACATCACCATTTTGGAGGAACCTCACCCATTCAGCAGAATGTGTTATCATGGACCCATTTTACAGACCGGAGCATGGAGGGAGTAAGTTGTTGCTGGCTGTGAGTTCTTTAGTTGACAGCTCCGTCCTGGTTCCATCCATCTCAGAGACCCCTGGGGAGTTTATTTTTAAATATCACACTCCCAGAGCCCCACCTCAGCACCTGTCCTTTCTAACCCCTGCCCCAAGGTGATTCAAATGTAATCCCCAGGGCTGATACTCTCCTACTTTCTAGAAAGAGCTTTGCTGTTCAGTACTGCAACTGCTGGCCATGGGTGACTTCTGAGCACTTGAAGTGGGGTTGGTGCCAATTGAGATATACTCTGAGTACCAAATACACACCGGGTCTCCAAGACTCAGTATCAATAATAATAACAATAATGTAAAACATCTCACTAATACTTTTTTCATTTGGTGACCTGTTGAATGATAATATTTTGGATAAATTGGATTACATAAAATAGATTATGAAAGTTAGTTTCAAGGTCATAAAACTCAGTATCAAAAAAAAAAAGCCTAATTAAAAACTGGGCAGGGGACTTCCCTGGTGGTGCAGCAGTTAAGAATCCGCCTGCCAATGCAGGGGAAACGGGTTCGAGCCCTGGTCCGCGAAGATCCCACATGCCGCAGAGCAACTAAGCCCGTGCGCCACAACTACTGAGCCCGCATGCTGTAACTACTGAAGTCCGTGCCCCTAGAGCCCGTGCTCTGCAACGAGAAGCCACCGCAATGAGAAGCCCGCGCACTGCAACAAAGAGTAGCCCCCGCTCGCCGCAACTAGAGAAAGCCCGCATGCAGCAACGAAAACCCAACACAGCCAAAAATAAAATAAAAATAAATTTATTTTTAAAAAACTGGGCAGAACACCTGAAGAGACATTTTTCCAAAGAAGACATACAGATGGCCAACAGGCACATGAAAAGATGCTCAACATCGCTAATCAGAGAAATGCAAATCAAAACCACCATGAGGTATCACCTCACTCCTGTCAGAATGGCCATCATCAAAAAGACCACAAATAACAAATGCTGTCGAAGGTGTGGAGAAAAGGGAACCCTGTACACTGTTGTTGGGAATGTAAAATGGTGCGTCCACTGTGGAAAACAGTCTAGAAGTTCCTCAGAAAACTAAAAATAGAACTACCATGTGATCCAGCAATTCCACTCTTGGGTATATATCCAGAAAAAACTGAAAACCCTAATTAGAAAATATATATGCTCCCCAGTGTTCATAGCAGCATTGTTTACAATAGCCAAGACATGGAAGCAACCTAAGCATCCCTCAATAGAAGATGTGAAATATATCTACAAGGGACTACTACTCAGCCATAAAAAAGAACAAAATAATGCCATCTGCAGCAACATGGATGGACTTGGAGGGTATTATGCTTAGTGAAATAAGACAAAGACAAATCCTGTAAGTTTTCAATTGTATGTGGAATCTAAAAAATAAAACAAACTAGTGAATTTTTTTTTTTTAGAAGAAAGAAAGAAAGTTACTTTCACCTGCTCCTTTTCACTTTTTAAAATGTGGCTACTGGAAAATCTGAATTACACCATGGCCCGAGTTGCATTTCTACTGGACAGCCCAGCTCTGGCACCTTAGCTGTCATCTCCCTTGCTACCAAGTGCCAAGCATCCGCCCCTTTGGCAGAGTGGAAAGTCCGATCCCCTAAACACTATCCTCCTTGGCGTAGCTTTCCTTAAAATCATACTGGTGACCAACATGCGAATTAACACGAACCCCCGGCTTCTGGAGGGATACAGCGATGGTGGGCAGGTTGGGTTGGGTGGGAAGTCTTCAGAACAGATAGAGGCACTGGGCGAGCTGTGCTGGTTTGGTGGCGGGGAGCTCTGAAGCGTCCCTCTGTCCCACAGGTGCCCAAGCCAGGAGCTGACAAGCCCCACCCGTGTGGCCTAGGGCCCCAGGCTTCGCTGGCCCCGCATTTCAACCACCAGGAGCTGTGTGGTCTGGCGCCCGAGGGCGCACTTCCCCAGACGCCCTGGAGCAGCCCCGTGGCGCTGGCGGCGGAGGTGCCAGAGCTCACGGTGGTCCAGTGGCCTGTGGAGACAGGCGCGCAGCCGCCCGAGGAGTTCGCAAGGCCGTGGCCCTGCTGTTCCTGCAGCCCTGGAGCGCCCGGAGGGAGGCGCGGGCTGCGGCCCTGGCCGAGCTGCGGCCCGAGAAGCTGATGCTGGCGGCACCGCGGGGCTGCTCAGCCGCCAGGCCCCAGCGCCTGCTGCTGGCGGACTTCGGCCGCGGCCCCCCGGCCTCCCACGCGCGGCAGCTGGGCAGCCCACTCCGAGAGCTGCTTGGCCCGGGCGCAACCTTGGCCACGTCCTTGGCCGTGGGCCTGGAGCACCTGGCGGCCCAGCTGGCCCGCGCGCAGCCCTCGGAGGCCGGGACTCGCGGCGCGGTGCTGCTCTGGGGGCCCGGGCCGGGCTGCGCGGCCGCGGAGCCCCGCTGGGGTCCTGGCTGCGGATGCGCCGCGCGCTGCTGGTCCTGCACCTAGCCGAGAGGGCCGTTGGTGGGGAGGTGCCCAGCCTGGAAGACTGGCTGTGCTGTGAATACCTGGCCAAAGCCACCGAGGACTCTTTGTACCTCGCCGGGGAGCTGCTGTGTAACTGAGCCTTCCCGTGAGCAACGCACCTGTTCCAGGGCCTCTCTAGGAGGCAGGTCCCCCTTCCCAGGGCTGGGGCTGGTGATAGGGTGGACGCCCCCTTCCAGAAGGGGCCAGGAGGCCAGCAGAGGACGCAGCTGAGAACTTGGGCCCAAGGCCCCCTAAGAATTCAGGTGCCCTCCTTCCAGGGCTGGGGGCTAATGGCCAGTGCCTGCTGAGGCCTTCTGATGCCAGAGGTGCCCACCCCTCTTCCAGGTGTGGTACCCCCCGACAACTAATGTCTCTCCCAGTGGGCAGAACCGCTCCCACCGCCTTCCAGCAGAAGCCAGGATGCCCTTCTAATGCTGGGGTCTGATGGCCACTGTCTCCATGACAGTGTGG